GAAGTCTGTCCTGTAGCATCAGTGGAACAAGTGTTGACATCAAGAGGCCACTGAAAAAAAGAAGCACAAAATAAATTAAGACTTGTTTTCTGGCTTATTCAACTTAAGATTTAACAAATGACGTCTGCAGGGGAGGATGAGCAAGTAATTGGGAAAAAAATGTAAATATTAAATGCAAAGTCATGAATGATGTGGGAAAACAGGTGTCTCCAGAAGATGATTCATGAAGCTAACATGCTGTGGTTCATTATGGAGGTCAACTACTTTATTAAGTTCCTCTACACCGGCATTTAGCAGTGCGGTTCCAGGAAGGTGATGTATTTATACTACCCCTCCAAAGAGATGATGGATTGCTGTTCTGCCCATGAATCATTTAGCGTAGTAACAGTGAGTCCTCAAAAGCCAAATGTGAGGCAGGCATCTCTGTTCTTCGTGCATCTTTCGAAGGTTTACAAAAGTTACGAAACCTCCTTCAGTTTCATCACTACAGCACAGCGTTTGCAGGTGTTCTAGAGATGACAGAGGATCTGGCAGATCTTTCAATCTATGTTTAAAATATCGCGTCTGGAATGTCAGAAATGTTGGAATGTTTTCTTTTTTTTCTTCTTTTTTATTGCAGAATTGATTTATCAGTGGGGTTTTTCCTTCCTCTGTCATAACAGACTGAACAGCCCAAATCCAGCACACGTTAGACTAGATCGACTCAGGAATGTGTCAGAATGCACGTAAGTTATGACTTCTCTCATTATCTCCTGTGATAAAGCTAACCGAGGGTGCGTGCCTCAGTTCACTCCTGTTGGAAATGATCCTATAATGATTTTGAAATGCGTGACATCACTGCAAATTTTAAAGAGAGTTTATTTATAGGCAATAATTTACTGCAATCAAATGCTACACGGTGTATCTGACACACATAAGCAAACTAAATTAAAATAAACTAAAGTGGGAAGAGGTTTTCCACTCACAATTCCAGTTTGCAATGGCTAATGACATTCTAAGTGATGGCTGGAAGTTCAGAAAAAAACACCAATGACATTTCAGACTTTGTCCATCTGCACTGGAGAGGAAAACAATTCCTCCACTTATGCAATTGGAACTGTAAACACTGCGAACACACAGTTTGGTGCTGAAATGCTGTTAGTTGCAAAGTCATGAATGGCATTGGCCAATAATGATTTAGAAGGAATAGTCATCCTGACTCAGCTAAATCCAATTGCCCTCATAAAAGCGCTCTCCTAAGGTGGCCTGTGACCTACATGAAACCTCCATCCTGCAGTGGGGCACAGGTTTACTATTTTATGTAGCGATCTTTCACATTCGCATTTAACACTGCGGTTCCAGGAAGGCAATGTATTTATAATAACCCTCTAAAGAGATGGTGCATTGTTTCTTCTGCCTCTGAATCATTTAGTGTTAGCAGTGTAGCAGTGAGTACTTAAAAGCCAAATGTGGGGCAGGCGTCTTGGCTCTTTATGCATCTGTGCCTCTCCAACATGCTCCACTGCTCCACTTTCTCCACTTGTCTGAAGCCCCTTTGTAAACCCCTCCTCTCTCTCTCTCTCTCTCTCTCTCTCTCTCTCTCACACACACACACACACACACACCAGTTCCTCATAATTATCAGCCTGTCTTTCCGTCACCCGTCGTGATTCTCAATTTTGGTGTGTTGGTCTTATGTTGTAATGTTTTTATTTAATGAATTGAGTTTTCTTTTCGATTTACAACAAAAATGTTTTGTGCATATCATATGTTGAGTTCTGTAGTGTGATTTGGATTCTTAAAAACTGACTGTATAAACGCTGTCAAATCCTAGAACAAAACATATTGCGTAATCTTCATCACAAGCACATTCAAAAAAGATCAGGATTCTGAAAACTTCCTTGAAAATCCTGATCGTTTTTGAATGATTCCTCATTAAAAACAGTGTTTTAATGAGCACTGGAGGTTTGCTGCGATTTAACAACCTGTAAACAGAGAACATTTTTCAAGGCTGCAATAACAACACCCAGTGGATGTTATCTCATGTCAGGCCAGTAGAAGGATGACATGCATGTTTGACAGTTTCAACAGCATTTAACAACCTGGGCTGTAAGTTGAATTACGGGAATTGTAAATCCTAAAACTTTGGAACCTGGCCAGCGCTAAGCACTAAAGAAGCCATCGGATCTTGTTGTCTGCCGCTTTTTAATCTGTCGCTCGCATGTTCTCGAATTTGAAGAAAAGGTGTTGCATTTTCTCAGTATGCTTCCCTTCAGGTCATTTGTTTGCGTTTTCTTACCCAGTCATTTCTCTGTTTCTGTTTCTCCGTTGCTCTTCATGTATGGCACGTCTTCCTCAAACTCCTCTCTCTGCCTGTGGGAGGTGATACATAACAAGAGCACAATGTACACTTTTATCATGATAAAATCTTGAGATCTGGATGATGGAAAATGTGCGCACAGTTTTTCCTGTTTCATTTATTTCTGTTTGCTTTTTTCAGTCTTAATAGTGAGCTAGATGCTGCCGTGCTCCACGGTGCTGTAGCCGTTGGCGTTGTTTGCTATTGCAGTGTGAGTGGGTAAGCAGGGCCAGGGGCCTGAGATGATTGCACTTAAAGTCAATTAGTAGCCATAAACTCAAGAGCACTGATATTTTTTTCCTCCTCCATTCATGTCTCCATTAAAAAAAGCTGGAATACACTGTCGTTACATAGCCAGCCACTTAATCCACCGCGCTGTTGCTCGAAGCAAGCCCTAAAATAATCACATGGCTGATTTCGAATCAATGAAAACCAGTCTCTCACGCTGTTCCCCTCATATGAAACAGATATGGCTTTTATGTGCTAAAAGTATAGTTTTTGTGTCAATTATTTAATGAGCTATTTAATGTGTTTCTCCAATGGCTCAAAGTAAATTTCCTCTTTATTCTTTCAGGCATTTGCTAAAGCAAATACTGACATGAGGGGGTTAAATGCAAAAATAAAACAACATTTCTAGATGTGAAAATTCAAATGGGGGTTTATAAAGTTTGACTCACGGTTTGATTTTGTTGGAGAACCTCTGTCGTAGGATGAGAGCAATGGTGGTGAGGACCATCATAGTCGTACACATGGCTCTACCCCAAGGATCTCCTGCCTTGGGAACGCTGGTGGTTCAGAGCACTGAACCGTCTTCCGCCATTGAAAGGCTTGAATGGTAAAAGGCAGAGTTTGTGGTGTAACAATCTGACTATTCCTGCCTTGGCGCTCACACATGATTGGGGAGATTACCATGGAGGATTAGCTAGGATCAAGGAGGGGGGGTTAGATCTCGCTGGCAGGACTACGAGGTAAACAGAGCATGCTGTGAGTTGCTGTTCTAAAAACAGCCCACCCTTACCACCATGTCATTAGCACAGCATGCTAAATCCATCTCATCAGTATATTGTCTTTTTTTCAGTTGAGGATAGGCAGAATTATGTAACGGGGGCAACAGGGTAGCTTCGCAACATGAGCCTAAAGATCAACATACCAATCAGCTTACATTGTTTTATAAGTGGATTATCTAGTTCAATATTATTGTGCTCAAACATAACTTGGGAAACAGTGAATGTTTAGAACATATCATGGGACTGCTTCTAAATATACCAAAACCAGACCCTCTAATGACTTCTCCGCAGGCCAAGTCCAGTGTTCCTACAATATATTATGAAAAGAGAGCACATAGTGGGATAAATGAGGGTATAAATACGGACTGTCGGCAGCTAAGCCACTTATACTTAGCACTGCTGACTCAAGCACAGAATAAGGGAGCAGTGGGGCAAGGAATAGAAAAGAAAGGTGTAATTTTGTCGGTATGCCCACGAGTGTGTAGTGACAGGAGGGTCACATTGGAGCAGCAGATAAACAGAGGCTTTTCTTTTTATTTGAAAATTGAATCAATTACAGATACAAACGTGAGCCATGATGAAAAATGTACAATCGCCACATTTAAATGTAAAAATGTAAAAACGTCTCGTATACTTAAGAGCTAATAAAGTGGCTACAAGTGGATACAGACTGATAAGATTAAACATCTGAAAGACATCATACTGTTTAGAAAGAATGCTGTTTACATTTCTGTTTCGAGATATACACATTCAGCAGAAGGCACATCCAAGTCAAATGTGACCTCTAGTCCACTGGTGGGTCTATGTTTGCATTTTCTTCCTCTTTGCTCTCTCTCCTTTTAATGGTTTAGCTTTTTACAAGAGTACAAATGTAAGAAGGTGAGCTGATTTTTTTTATTCTTCCCTCTCTCCCTCTCTTTCTTTCTGTCTCTCCCTCTCTTATACACACTAGAAACCCACTTTACTAACCGCACGTAAGAGTGGACGTCCCATGATGATCTTAGATTACATCAAGCTGTATCTCACATTAGAGTCAACTGATTAATGTCCTATGAAGCCGGGAAATCAGAAGGTTTCCCCGCATGCCTGCCTATGTGGAAAAGAAATAGAAAATTAAAAAAAACCCAAACAAAAAACGAGTAAATGTTTGTTTTATATGTGTAATTCTCAAGGCTTATATTTTATACCATCAATTTACATATGAAAGTGGCCATTTCACATTTTTCTCATGCAACATTAAAAAAAATTCAAACTACGACACCAGAAAAACAGAAAATGGACACAATCATGAGTAAATCATAGTATTACGATATGTATGTATATAAAACTAACTTTTACTATTAGAGAGCGTGTATATTTCTAAGAAAATTTTACTACTTCTTTTCCATATGGGTAGTCCAAGTTTAAAACGTTCAACCAGTCGAGGTTGAGAGCTTTTCCCAGCCCAGTTCCTTGTAGATGGCAGAGATACTGCAGTAAACCGTGGCCAAGAGGTTTGTCCATGCTGCGCCCACCTCAGGTGTGATGACCTCTGGAAATTCTTCTCCCAGGACTTCTAGGATTACACCGCTCAGAATCTGAGTAAGACACAAACAAATGTGCTCAGGACATTGATGGAGCGCTTTGACTTGTTTTTCCCTGAAAATGTTGACCCCCAGTCTCGGGTTTTTGTACAGTTGAAGCAACGAAAGCATAATATGTACAATATACAGACTGCAAGGGATTGAGTTGTGCTTGTTATCTTTGGTCTGATGTATGGAACTGTTCATCAAATTTGCAAATACACTAGCTGTCTCTTATCTTCTTATTTAGTGTCAGTTGTTTCATGTAACTCTATGTTTCAATGCTGAATCAAAGGAATCTCAGATGGGAAGGGTTGCTAGCAGTCTCTGGCGCTCTCAGCTAATTAATCTGGTTTCCTGGTCCAAACAGCTGCGTTGTGCATCATATTAAACGGTGTGCAGCTGGTTTCTGTTCACGAGCTCACAACAATTGACTGTGCATTATGTATCTGCTTAAAACTACATGCAAGAGAAAAAACATAAAAGAATCAAAGGACAGGAAGCAAAACCAAGTCACAAAATTATGGCAGGAAAGAGGAGTTTAATGATGAACATAATATAAAGTGGTTTACACTGTAAGGTAAAAACCCAATGATACAGAGACAACCCCAACAATCAACCAATCCCTTCTGAGCAAGAACTTGGCAACAGTGGGAAGGAAAAATTCCCTTTTAACAGGAAGAAATCTCTACCAGAACCAGACTCAGGGAGGGGCGGCCATCATGACTGGTTGGGGGTGATGACATGCCTCGTATGCTTGACATTTATCACATTTGTCTCACATTGTATCATTTCCTGTGAATGCAAAATGATTTATTGATCATTTTATGCTAACCTATTAAACTGACTGACTGTAAATACGTGACTCTACAGAAGCACATGGTGCAGAATGAAAGACAGGTTTTTTTTCTACTAATGTCTTGGAGCGTGCTTTCTGCACAGCTGTTCACGCACTGTTTTCTTTACCTTGAAGTACACAGGCTCCACCTTGTGTTGGAGTGCATGGGCCTTGGCCACTAGCTTCAGCACCGACGCCATCTTATCTGAGTTGTCAAGGTTTTCCACCAGTGTATTGATGGCATTCATAACTCTCCGAGCATGCTTCCTGAGCTGGGCGCTCTTCTCCAGCTCCTCCGCGTCCTCAATGTGCTTGAACTGGTTGAAAAACTGCTTGGAGGAGGGGAAGTTGACAAAGAATCTGCAAAGGAGGAGTGCTAAATGAAAGATACGATATATATACATACGTGTAACTGCTGTACTATTCTCATCTTCCTTCTGCCTGCAGCCTCATCCTATAAACCCACGTTCCCTTGTCAAGTTGGCAAGATAACACGAGTAAACACTAGCGCATGTATAAGGGTGCTGCATACTTTTAGTGTAAAATAACTGCATTAAACTGATACTGTGCAGTGTGGTTTCCATACATTTGCAAAGGATTTACAACCTAAAGGGAAGAGTCCAGCTGCAGAGCTGTGATCATGGCAAAGAGCTGAATAAATAGATACTTTACACAGTGATTTCACAAGTTCTGTTGTACTAAACAACAGCTGTGGTTAGGTTTATGAAATAAAAATGAGGAATACTGACTAAATGACTAAATATGAAATAGTTATCATCATAAATGAAGTTATAGCTTCCTTTGCTTTCCAAACCAATTAATATGTCACACTGGAGAAGGAAAGTAAATCTTGTAGCATCAGATAAAGAATCCCAAAGCGTGCACTAACTCTGATATTCTGGGAGCTTCTCTGTTTCATAACTGTTTTTGCTTTGATAAATGAATGGATGGAGACTTCTTATTGTATTTGCAGTTTAAGGCCCTTTGCCATTCAACTTATAAGGTAGTATACATATGCGTATCCCTATTTCGTACCTGAAAACCCAGTGTGATGAATAACTCTATTGTTTTTAAAGAAAAACAGTTCCAGTCCTGTTATCAATGTCAATATTTGTTATTTTACCCATTCCTTGGGATGGAATGACAAAATTAATATCAGGAACATGAAACCTGTCTCCTCATACACATTGTTTTCAAGCCACCCACCCTCGCCGCTCCTCGTTTGGGAACCTGTTGGCTGATGTTTCTAGTTCTGCTCTGGTTCCTGTCAGGACTTAAAAAAACATGATCCTGCATACTTTCCAAAAAAAAGCAACATGCTTATTACAGATGAGGGTGTGGGTATTCCATGCTTACTAAGGTTGCTATGATCACACCTGATACTTCCTTTTCTTTCTGAGTGACACTGAAATTATAATTCCTGCAAAGACAGAAACAAAGTTATACTTATGTTGGAATACTCAGTTTCTCATCTCAGTTTAAGCTCCGGGTCGAGAATTTAATATCGCTGCGCTCTTTCTGAAGACAGCAAATAGTCCTTTTAAAGATGTTTTCTTTGACACTCAGAAGTATCAGAGTGAATTAACAATGAGGAACCTAAAAACTTACCCCCTCCCACAGTCTGGGAAGAGGGCCAAAGCATCTGGTTTTTGGCTATCGGATCGAGATATCCCATCTCCTCCCTGTCTGTAGAGCAACTAACAGAAAAAGGAAGTGCGGATTTACACTGTCAGATCTGCAACATATGGCTCGATATTAAAGTTTTACTCGTGAACTTAAACATCTGAGGGAAGGAGGTTGGGAGGCGGCGCATTCATTTTTCAATCCTGGGTGTATGGGCTTCTGCAAGTGCCGGAGCAAAATAATGAACCGTGCTGTTTAATCTTTCTGTCTTTGTAATTGCATGTGACCTGTGGTTGCATATAAATAGCCTCATTAGTTTTTCATATGGTCATTGGTTCTTAATCCTTCCTTATCTTATTTCGAGACTAAATGAAGAGCTGAAGTGATAGAAAGTTTTTCATTTCAGAGACAGAGCGCTGAGATTTGCTACTTTAGATCCTATCTGACGACCATAAAGCCGACGAGTTTGAAGGATTTGCAGCGTTAGGCTTGAAGTTGGACACGGTGGCAGGATCTTTTCTCGCTGGCTGAAGGAGACTTTTGCCAGGACACGGATATCAATCGGACTTTATTAATCAAATTCCCGAAGGTCGCAGGAAATTAGTGATGGAATATAAGCAAGACAATATGAAAGGACATATTTTAAATACTTTTTTATACTATTTTCTGTTTCTGTAGGAAAGCGCAGCAGCTAAATTCCATCTTTTCAACAATCTGTGAAAACTACATTACTAATGGTGATTGTATAAATACAGTATTACACTCCCTCTCAACTTTCACCTCCTGCAGTCAGAACGGATTATAAAGGCATGCTCTGTCGTGCATCGAATCTCGTCACACAAGAATTCCATTCAAAGCCGTCACACTTCTGCGAAATCCCTGCACATGGATGATTTTTGCAACATTTGCTTTGCTTAACTTTCAATGTGAAAAAATGAAAGTGTGGTAAGTGCAGGAATCAACCAGCAAATCAATAAAATATGATGTAGTAAATATATGAAAGACTGAATACCTGCTGTGTATGTATCCACTGTAATAGAGAAAAGAGGAGGATTTTAAATGTCTTACAGCTGGTGATGGAGTCATGCTGCCATAGGTTGCCAAGCCCTCTATACAGGCATTCAATCAGAACCTCTTCTGAGAGGGAGTGTGCCCCTTTCATGGGCACAGATGGGGTTTAAATGTTTGACCTCTGCCCTAACAACTTAACAAACAGGATTAAGAGAGCGTCACATCTAAAGAGATGACTGTAAAACCTGTAAAAGTCAGCAAGCTCATTGAAGTTGAGCGTATCCTGGATTTTGAGGAAGCAAGTTTTTTTTTTTAAAAAGTCTGCACAGGGGAACAAACAAGCATCAGCTGTTTTTTTATTGGCTCCTGCTTGTGCGCTGACGGTAAAAGGGGGTAAAAGGCAAACCTTAACTTACGTGTGGTGAACTATATAATAAAGATGGAAAGAACTTTCATACCAAAGTCTCAAAATAGGTGATATTACACTGTTTGTGCTATATTTACTCAGCATGTGAGTAAATAGATGCATAGCCATAAAAAAGGATGTTAAAATTGTTCAAATATAACATTCCTGTTAATTATAGATAACATTTTTCACAGTACTCTTTTTATTATTTTGGTGTGAATTAGATATTTCCTCAAACATACATAGAAAAGGAAATACCTGACTAGTATGGCCACCCCGACATCATCACAGTTCTGGTAGACTTTTCCCCAGGAGGCCTGGATCATCACCCTCTCCTTGTCAGTCAGCGGGCTTGGCCGCTCCAGGTGGTCCACCTCTCCGTCTCCCTGCGTCCTCTCCATCTGGAAACACAGTGTGTAGTGAGCTGAGCACATGCAGAAGGCAGGGCTGATGAGAGCACCCCTCCCCCTCAGGCAAATAAACACAATTTGTACCTTTTTGTTGTTGTTGTTGTTGTTGATGTCTTTTCCTCTTGTTTGTGTCTCCTATGTGGTGGCAGAAGGGAAAAGCAGTTTCCTGTTTTCCACCCCTTGTCCCTGTGAGAATCTCTGCTCCCGACCTCTGAATCTCTGCTGAGCGAGAGTGTGAGTGAAGAACGGGCTAGGAAAAAAAAAATCACACAAGAAACACACGCAGCAGCGAATGAGGAGGAGCCTCTGTACTCTCTCTTTATACACTCTCCCTTCCCTGCCTCCCTCCTTCTCTTCCCCTTCTCTCCCTCTGCCCGCCTCACCTTTGTAGGTGGTGTTTAATGAAAATACGATGAGATCAGAAACAAATCCCAAGCAAGGGAGCCGGATATGTCATGCACATAATGTGTGAGCGCAGATACAGTGTAATGTCAGCATGGTAAAATAAGATAAAGGTGCACTCTTAACTTGTTTTACCTCTAGAGTCCCTCATGCAGACTTTCCAGGAGAATAACCTGGAATGATATTGAATTTCTCACAAGCTCCCTTTATGTAAATGAAAAAATAAATACATAGATAAAAATCATAATAATAATATTAATAATAATAAGGTGTTTTGTGCTTTAACTTTTTCATTTTCTTCCTTCAAAAGCAAACATGTGTAGCTTTGCTGTGGTTGGTGTTATCAGTATAAGGATATATCGCTTCCATGTGTTTAAAAAAAAGCTTGAGTAAGTTGTTATTGCTGTTTTATAATGAATTGGCCAACCAGGACCCAGGTAGCCTGGAATCTGGGAGGTAAATACGGGAGGAGAGCAAACACAAGACCACACACTGTGACTTAGGTAATATCAACTGTCTTACAAGGGGAGGTACAATGTACAACTCTGCGTTAAACATTGACAGAGTTGATAGTATGCCATTCAAGTTGGTGAAAAAAAAAGTAGACTTAAGGTAGATGTATCATAACCAACCATTCAAATAGCTTTCCCTTACCCCGTCTGCAGAAGCAGTGCCAATTAAACAGGGGAAATGAACAGGGGGATAGTGTAACACGGGAGATGGGGAATTATTGCTCCTAAGGTGGGCAGTGAGAAACATTACAATGAGATCTGGGTTTCGTGATCAAAAGCAGAGCACACAGGACACAACTTGACATGCAGTGAGCTGGGCAGGCAACAGAATGGAACTGAAGGCAATCAGAGCAAGTGGCCTGAGCTGGGCAGGTAGACAACAAGGTGATGGGTAAGTGCTTCAAGCAGAACGGTTTGTCAGAGAGACTGCAGAGTGATGCTTCCGGTGATGAGATGATGAGCCACAGGTGTGCATGCTGATTGGAGCCGGGGGGGGGGGGATATGAAGAGGAGCTATAGAGCCCAGGCCGTGACACATGCACCATCAGTTCATGTGTGAAGCTCATTATAATGCAGGCATGTGACCTTCAAGCTGGCTCGTCAAGATCATGACTATGCGCACGATCCTAACCGTGTAGGCTACTCGTCAACCTCGTGTAAGCGTACAGTCAGGGCTTTACATTTGCTCCTTTACATTGTCCAAAGATCAGCACCACCATGGCTGCCTTGCCACCACTGTCTTACAAGTTATAACAGTAATTATAAGCATCACATTAAACCAGTGGTATACAAGATATTGCATCCCGTCATGGTTGTAAGGTGTACAAGAAGCCACATAATTAAAGGATGGTATGTTGTTCATGTGCATGCTGTGACCTGTGGCCCCAGGTCAGAGTATTATTGTGGATAAACTTTGGGATCAAAAAACTTTATTTTTACAGGTTTATGTAGACAAATCCACATACCTCTGTAAACACTTCGTGACTCCTTGAATCTCTAGTGGTGTTCACACCCACAGTAAATTTAGACCCTTTTTCACAAACCTTTAACCCACTCTCTTAAGAAAAACAATGATATTATCATCCAAAAGAATAACTGCTGTAACTGCAGTCAGTACAGCATTGGTGGCATCTACTGGACAGTTGTGGTAATAACGCTTTATAGTGTCTTTATTTTCTTTTTTCTTTCTTTCACACAGTTCGCTATCTTAGTTTGGGCAGTAAACTATGGTCATCTCATCTTAAGTGACTGACAATCGCACTATGATTAATCTATGACAACAAGATATTTCATATATCATATATTAACCAAAATTAAAAAACCTGTAGTATATGAATATAAAATAATATGAATTATTATTATTTCAATTAGAAAGTTTGTAAATTTGCTGGAGTACACATATTTTATGCTACTTTGACCGTAGTACAGTAAATAATTGAACTCCGTGATTAATTTTTTTAAAAGCTTTAACCTACTTGGCCTGCCAAAACAGTTAAGTGTTTAAAAAAACTGAAAAATATAATCTTACATAGACAATATGCAATAATATGAAATGACGAGTTCATCTAGTCACTTGACTATGTTCACATTTTGCTCAACTATATTTTGGCTCTGAATAAATTACTTTTTTAACAGAATATTTTTCAGTGTGTTATTAAACTATTGCTTAATAAATGTAATCTCTTGGTTAACCAAATTATTACCAGATTATTAGTATCCCTAAAGAAAACCGCCGTCTGACATTCAGTACAACTGAATTTATGTTTTTTGATCCGCGGTTAAGACTGACCCGACGGGGATTCCGTAGTTAACATTATAAGCTGCATTGCTACCTGAGAGAGAGGCAGGTGTCAGTAGACTTCCGGCGAAAACTGCGACAATAATTTGACAAACCAAAATAAGCAATGCTTATTTTACTGCTATGTTTTAGCTAACTTTGTGCCGCACTCTGACGGTCATTCTGGGTATATCCGCTCCCCTAGCAGGCTAATTTGAGCCAGCTAGCGAGCGAGCAAGCTAACGACTACGTCAGAGAAAAAAGGAGAAGAAACTAAGTGGTTAGAAGGAATAAGGTTGAGCTGTTGACAGTGCCTGTCAAGTTAAACACCAGAATGAATGTCGCTAAAAGTGCTTATCGAGTATTTTCTGCAAACTCCTCTGCAGCATGCACAGAATTAGCCAAGAAAATAACAGAGTAAGTAATGCTTTGAACCGTTAGTGTTAAGACTGACTGCTAGTTAATATTTAATGCCACTAATAGTGCTTCTTTAGGTTGTTGGTCGGTGATAATTGTGGAAAAACTTCACTGCTGACTCTTTACCATGCATAGTGAGTGTGGTCTGTAATGCGTGGATGAATGAATTAGTCGTGTGGTGAAAGCCTGATATTGTGTGTTGAAACTCTGCAGCTGGCAGATGACCATTAGGTTGCCATGTTGTGCTCATGTTTCACAGGCGTCTGGGTGTGGAGCTGGGGAAGTCTGTGGTCTTCCAGGAGTCTAACAGAGGTGAGCAGGGTGTTATGGCTTTATATGCAATTTTATTCCAAATGTTTCTGGTCAGGTTTTATCTGAATTCAGATAAAACCTGACCAGAAACCAGAAACATTGACCAGAAAATGTAGGCTTGTGATCTGATACACAAGTAGGTGAGGGTAGTTAGAGATTGTGTGCTAAAGTTACTGTAGTTGATATTTTTAATCACTATTTGTTGTTTCGAAATGGTCAGTTTCAGATTGGTATTTGAATTTTTCCTTTTTATCAAATGTATAATGTAAGTGCAATTTTCAGGGACAGGTGTAAGTTCAGTTCAGACTTGGTATTTCAATTTGTTCTGCTTGATAAGCTGATTTCTCACCAGAAGTGGACTTTATAAACAGCTTGTCCATGACTTTTCCCCTCTTATTTTAATACCTCACTCCCAATGATCACTGTCGCCAAGTGCTTGCTCCTAGGGGCTCATCTGATTGTTGGACTTTCCTTTATATTATTGTAGGGTCTTTATCTTACAAGATAAAGCACCCCAAGGCAACTGTTGTTGTGATTTGGTGCTATATAAATAGAAGTATCCTCTAGATCAGGGATGCCAAACTCATTTTGTATCATGGGACACTACAGCCCAGTTTGACCTTGAATCTGAACAAGCAAAACTGCTTACTGTCAGTGTAAAGAAGTTTAAGCTTATATAATACCTGACATATCTTAATATAAGATCAATACATGTAGTTTCAATAACATGGTTCATTTTTCTATAAGATAAAGAAATGCTGCTGTTGTAATGAAAGAAATCTGTCAGCACGACTGTTTGTCGTGTACAGTTAAATTGTTAGAATATAATGTGTAAAATTAAAGGAAGAGTTCTGGTTATTCACGAACAGGCTGTCCTGTTGTTATAAAATAGAAAGCCTTTGCTAATTAACAGAAAACTTCCTATTTTATTCCTGCAGTAGTCCCATTGAATCACATTTCTATAGTAGATAGTGGAAAATCAGGAACTTTTATGTTATTGATGTGTTTATCAATTATTTACTAGTTTTGGTGTAGTATGAATGGTCAATGAAGAAATTGATCTAGGACATTTTAGCTCAGATTATCAGTATCTGTACCACTGTTTGTTTCATTAGGGAAAGCAGAGCTTTCCTGATAGTTGCATTAAAAGTTGTTGGCACAGGATTGCTGTGGAGTAGGGCATGGGTATTAATACGACACGACTGTTGCAGAAATTAATGGAATCCATCAAAAATAGCACATTGTTCATGTAATAGAGCTACAAGATTTCATCAGTTTTTAGGTCATGAGACGTAAATGTACAACATCGCGTGTTCTGTTGCTCAAATAAACAACAAATGTGTATTAAAAAGTATTGGTGAAGTATGTTCTCTGTTCAGAGACTCGAGTGGATGTAAAAGAATCTGTTCGTGGACAGACCATCTTCATTATCCAGACCATCCCACGGTGAGTATAGTAGGATGTGCCAAACATTTAAAAAGGTTATTAGATTATCACCAAACAGAGTCATCTGATTTTTTTTTTTTTTTTACAATCAGGGATGTGAACACAGCCATCATGGAGCTGCTTGTCATGGCTTATGCCCTCAAGACCTCTTGTGCAAAAAACATCATTGGAGTTATTCCTTACTTCCCCTACAGCAAGCAGTGCAAGATGAGAAAAAGGGGCTCAATAGTGTGCAAGTTGTTAGCTTCCATGTTAGCCAAAGCAGGTAAAAATAGCAAAAAAGAAAACCTCAATCTGTGATTTGTTCAAAGAATCTTTATTTGAGTTTGATTATTTGATGTCTTTTACTCTGAAGGATTAACACACATAATCACCATGGACTTGCATCAGAAGGAGATCCAGGGCTTCTTCAGCTTTCCTGTGGACAACTTGCGTGCCTCCCCTTTTTTGATTCAGTACATTCAAGAAGAGGTAATGATCCCTGTCAGATCTCTGCTGTGTGTAGTCTAGTGACCTGTGGATCACTCAGTCCAGAACTCCATCAATAAGTCTAACAAAACTGTTTACACTCTTTATTGCCAGATCCCTGATTACAGAAATGCCATCATTGTGGCAAAGTCCCCTGCTGCAGCTAAAAGGTAACTGATGCAATACACCACTGATAATTTCTGATAATCTTTACATCAGATATATATTGCAAAAATAATTTCTGTCCTATTCTATGCATGCATATTTAGATACATATGTATAACTAACGTGCATATATATACATGTTGTTACTGGTAATAATAATAATGTTGTAATTGACTAATTGTTAATTATTATTATTACTATTTTTAGGGCTCAGTCCTATGCAGAAAGACTGCGTCTTGGTCTGGCTGTGATCCACGGCGAAGCTCAGTGTTCAGAGTCTGACATGGCTGATGGAAGACACTCCCCACCATGTGTACGCAACACAACAGGACACACAGGCCTGGAGCTTCCTTGTAAGAAAACCCATATGAAAAGCATTTATGTTTAATTTTTATAATTTTTCTTGTAGCTTAAGTGCTCCATAGATATTACCAGCACTGATGATTTGCATTATTTATTGTTTCTTTGAGAATTTTCTCCTAGTTTAACTCTTCAGTTGTCTGAATTTTTAATGTTAGCACTTCATTGTATTTATAATTTAACAGACCTTTTCACAGCAGACATTTAGAAGCAGAAAAAGCACAGGTGGATTGATGAGTTTATTAATGATGGCTTAAGCGTCACAGGAAGCTATGACAATTAGCTAACATGCGCAACAGCATCAAAGTCAGTGGGATGCAGTCATGGTAGAGTTCACCTGTGTTTTAGCTACTGTAGCAGTTTAAAATGTCTTCTGTGGGAAAACAGACAAAATACAGCTCTTACTCATGCTAACCTGTTTTGAGCTGACGATTCTGCCGTTTCTCACTCATACCATCAGCCATACTGCAAGTAACTGATTTTTGTTTTTTATTTATTTTTTGTTAGTGCATGATTTCGTTTCTACAGATGAGCTACTTTGACTCATGCTGCATCGGCAAGCTGCAGTTCCTAACTTACAAAGTGTAAACTACAATGTAATCATAAAAGCGCAGTCTTCTGCTTGTTTCTTGCCACGTTAATTTTAACTTTTTTTTTTTTTGGTGCGAATACATGTGACTGGGTGAAGCTTTTATAGTGCTAACTCTGAATCTGAATTAATGTCAAATGAGTGTGTCGTTGGCAAATGACTCCAAATTTGTGTCCAATATTTAGTTGATTATTTTGTTTAAAAAAACCAACAAAAAACCAACAGCGTTGTGCTTTTAACCTTGACTTAAAAAATCCTCTTTTGGAACTGCAACTCACAAATGGCTTCATCCTTAATTTTTCTTATTAGAATCAGTCTGATTTGTTGTGTCGCTTTTTAAATTCCCGTCAGGCCGAGCAGAGGATTTTTCAAGTCCTGGCGTCATGTGTTGTGTCGTGTCAAATATTTGTGCATTTGTGTTTAACGTGGTGTTTATTTGTTGACAATAGCAGGCAAACAACAAGCTCCGTTCCCTGGCATAGAACTTCCAAGTACGACCGTAAAATTAATTTACATCTGACTATGAAATGATTCCTCTTCAAATGGTTCCTCAATTTGCATGTATAAACAAAGGGTTTGTGTTGCATCTTGTGAAAATACAGTCTGGATTCAGGTCTGTAAAAACAAAGTGGATGATTAGTGCTCAAACGAATTAAAAGACCAGTTAATTTCAGTTTCGATATACTGTTTGCATTATGCCACATTTCTGTGACTCCAGACAGCTAGTTCTACAAGATGGTCAAAACCCTCTTTTTTTTGTTGTGTTCTGATTTTTATTTTACTTTATTTTGTTTTTTAAACTCCAAATCCATAAATCAAACCAGAACCATACCAAACATTCTTTCTGTTTTTATTTTGTAGTTGAACATCTGGACTCATCTTGCCAATCAACACATTGTGCACCCATAAAAAACCCGCCCTTAAAAACCTGATTAACATTTGGTCATAACTGCATGTCATAAAACAGTAACGCATGCATTTGAAATCTAACATCCAGCGACGGGAACAAAAGATGTTGTGAATGGGATGGTTAGTGAATTATAGCATATAGCATAATCGTAGCAGTTTTAATATGCTGGATCAGATAACCTATTTTATTATTGAATAGTGTTGGATCGGTCAGTTACTCCTACAGGTCTGGACCAGCTTTTCTTTTAAAGGGACCATGTTTTTGATTCCAAGCAATGCTCCCAACAGATAATGCAGACCTTGGTTCTTGAGCTGGTGGTGCTCCCAGTGTCTATCCTGCTTGGCTGAGTAGCCTTGTAGGTTAAGTACCATTTGTCAGCCACACTGGTTAATGGCAGCTCTCCTCTTGTGATGCTTGCTCTTGGTAATTTTGCTAGGTTGTACGTTGGTGGCCAGGAAAAGAATATAGGTCCCAGGGATCTGTTAATTTTAAGGCCTGAGGGTAACATGTAAGAAGTATTAAAAGATTTATTGCTTATTCACAAGATTACGTAAAGAGTTAAAACAGAAATGTCTGAAATTTAGACTTCTGAATTCAGGATATTTTATTGAAGCAGTTTAGCAAGGGCAAAGCAAAAACCAGGATGTACCCCATCTCCTTTCGCTCAAATCATTTCCAAGACTCTGTAATACCCATAGGCTCAGAGCCACTGACCCTTTACACTAAGAACCAGTCCAGACTTCCTGTATATGGGTTACTGGCTGATCTGATGGGTGGCATATTTAATGTGATGCAAAGCTTTAACTCTGTTAGGCCGTTTGGACAGGTTGGGCATGCCAACCTGTTGATTTAACATTTTCTACAGATAACTCAAAGTATCAATACGTTTTAGACATCTGAAATTAATTTCAGAAACCTCTGAGCAGACATTTTTCAGGACAATGTTGTAGCACATCAACAAACTGTCGAGACAATGTATTTTAAGTGTGTGCACCGCTAACAACATGGCTCTTGCTGTTTTTGGTTGATAGCAATAAAAGACTGAATGTGACACTCCCAGGTTTTCTGATGCTGTGGGACTCACGGTATTCAGCAAAATGTTCTGCAAGGCATGCCTCCACCTTTCTCTGCTGCTTTATACTTTTCCTGCACAATCGGCTTGGCTGGCTGATTGTTTATCAGTTGATTGTTTCCTCAAAACCCTCTAAATGACTGCATTTACATGCATACCTGTAATCAGAAAACAGCTGTTTTTGATTTGGGTTACATGTCAGAGTGTTACTGATGGTTCTCCACTTTAAGTACACTGCATCAATCCTTATCTGAGGATAATTTTTAATGCATCAGTTGAGAATTAGAGACATGATAAGATCTGCCACAAGATGAAGCACTTTCATGTTTTATTAACACATAGCGATATGTGATATATCATGTGAGACCAGAAGTGTTATAGTGGACGTCAGCACTGATGCAGTGACAGTATTGATGATAATTAGAGCTTTTCTTAATAGAAATAAATTATATCCAAGTCACTGTATGTTTTTTTAAAGGGTGGAAAATTATGGCGTGCATGTAAAAGTAGCAGCACTGATGTTCCACTGAAGACTGATCCCAGAACACTGGCAAGTGTGTATGAAGAAACCCTCATCGGTGCTTGCCACTGTTGACCCATGTGAAATAAGACTGTGTGGTGCTTATTTGATTCATATACAGAGTGCTGCCACATGCCTGCCACAGCCTGGCAACCTAACATGTGTGTCAAGGCGGTTGTATACATTGTCTTCTGATTGGGTATTCTGGGCAGAAAACCCTTAGGCCATTTGATCTTTGCATGGCATGTTTTGTACTATGTTTGCCATTTGAGTTTAATCTTTTAGGGGTAGGAGGGGTAGAATGGAGGGAAAGTGTAATCAAGTGCATTTGAAATTTAAATTGAATGCAGCATTTCTACGAATCATTCACAGCATGCAATGGAAAAAACAATGATTTGGAGTGAAAATGAGCTTAAATCGAAAAACAATTTTCTCAACCCATTTTACCCAATCTACTGAGATTTATTTTTGATTAAGTGAGAAACTGTACGCATAACTTCCTGGAAGTGCTCTCATGGGCAAACTGCTCTTTTCATTTCCAGTAATGATGGCCAAAGAGAAACCTCCCATTACTGTGGTTGGGGATGTGGGAGGAAGGATTGCGATCATCGTGGTAGGTCATTTCTGCTTCTCCTTCCTTAGTTATCATTTCCATTAGCTTCCGTGGCTAACTTTAGCTGATGATTCAGCCCTCTTTCTTGATAAAATCTACTAATGCAACACTACAGCTTTCTTTAAAATGATTGGCTAGTTCTTTTTGAAGTGTGATATGCTTACTGTCTGCCAGTCACTTCCTTTAGGTGTGTCTATTTATCCAGTGCATTCTGCACCAAGTGTTTTTGCAATTCTGGTTTTGCACTGTCCTTACTTTACTTGGTTACGTATGCTCTTCATCTTCTGCTACATATTTTTGTTTTTTATTTTTCCTTATTCGTTGTAAGTTATCAAATTCTGTTTTAAAGGATGTGAAAAGATCTAATCCAAGCCAAAAAATGGGAAAACTGACATTTTAAAAAAATAAAATAAAAATCTTCTAATAATAATAATAATGATGATAGAATCAAGTAGGGCTGTGCAATATGACCAAAATCTCATATCCGGATATAAGATGTCTATTGTCCCGATAACGATATAAATCACAAATATGCAACATTTGAAACATGTGAAGTGTTTCCAGCTGGGCGTCGTGTACCTGGAGTCGAGTGTTTTAACCGATGTATGAAACTATACATTTTTAGACATAAGTTGTAACAGACTGAGTGATCCACAGGTCACTAGAATACACACAGCAGAGATCTGACAGGGATCATTACCTCTTCTTGAATGTACTGAATCAAAAAAGGGGAGGCACGCAAGTTGTCCAC